GATTTTAAAGTGATGTAATTCAGAAAGATTTATTACAAGTATGTTACTTTTTTGTAACTGAAAGTGGAAATAAAGAACCAAAGAAGTAAACATAAAGGCTATTTCAAATCAAAATTTTATCTTACACATTCCTTATCTTACAAGCGTACAGAAACACAAAATGAACTGATTCATTGTTTGTTGAATCTGAAAAAAATTAACTCATTGATGTGCGAGGTTTGTTTCAAATAACACATTATTTTTTATATTGAATCTTTGATGCAGCTCAGCTGCTTCGTCTTCTTTCACGAGAAAATGCATGCCAAGTGAATTTAAATAAGGAACTGACAACTTTAGTTTAGAAACAGAGAGAGCTTTTGCAGCCTAGGCCCAGAACCGCGATGATCATATCGTTTCCCGCTAGTGTGCTGACTGTTGGCGAGTTAATGTTTCACTTGCCGTTACCTCAGAAGACGCATTAACTCAGGAACAAGGTTCTTAATCATTCCACAAAATATTTTCTTGTAAATATTGAACTATTTCACTCCACTTGGTTGTAAAATTTAAGCCGAAGATTCAATAAGTGTTTTAATTGTTCTTCACACGTTTATTATTGCCAATTTCTTAAGACTTTCTTAGTTAAGACGGTAAAGTCATTCGGCAGCTAAAAAGTTATTTAATTTAGTTCAAGTGAAATAAGAAAGTAACTTTATATATGCTAGTTTAAGAAACATTACTAATAGCCACGAGAGATTAAAGGGTAATATCTTGGTATCAAATGAGGATTAATGTATAAGTTAAAACAGCTCTGTGTTTGAATTTGTATCTGAGCCATGTCCATAGACTCAGAAAAAATAAAGCATTTTTTAAGAACGATATAGTGAAATTTTATACATATTTCGAAATATCGAAAGAATAAGCCTTACTTATTGAACAAAATTTTAAAAATGCGTGTTTTGAAAAACTTTCATTACTCAGAGATACGTACAATGCAAAATAATAAGAAAATTAACTTGCAATTTGAAAACTAGAAGTCTGCTTCAAAGAAGAGTTTACAGTTAAGCATTTTTTATAGTTCTTACGTGTTATCCCGTCGATCATGAAACTGTCGAAAACCAATGCGATTTAGTGCCAGTTATGGATAAAGGTATGCGAAAACATGTTCATCCATTAATCATGTGTGCATGTGTAACATGGTTAACCTATGTGGTTATCTCAACGTTACACACGGGCTATGGTGAAAACCATGAAAACACCCCCTGCACCCAGCCCGTTCGCCGGAATTCGAGCCCCGATACCGAGCTAACCGAGCTACCAGTATTCAGAAACTTTAGCACTCAGCAGCTTGTGTGCCCACTATTGAGCATGAGTAAAGAGGTAAGCTAAAATGCTCGAATGTAGGAAGCAAAAATTGGCATGCTTTTAATGGAAGTACTTTCCTCCCATTGTATTCCTTCCGTTCGGTTTTTCAAGATATTTTTGCGTTCCATAAATGAAATAAATTATCTATTGAAGTGCAGTCTTTCCTACGAGCTTTAGTACTCAAAGTCAGATGCTTTTGCAGTTTCATTTGAAGCAAGAAGGGAGCTGTGTTTCCAAGAAAAGTTATTTTTAAGCTCAGTTACAGATATCTGTAGAATCTCCACGGAAGCCTTCTTATTTACCGAAAGAGTGGCCTCTACGATTTCTTTACAATTAACTACTCATGATGAAATCTCCAACAAAATAAATCTAAAAACTACATAAACATGTTTTTTGTTGTAACACTCATAGTGATATGAGAGAATTATTTTTATTGCAGGATAAGAAAGACTCTCAGTAGACTCCAACAAACAGCCATCTTTAATCAAACAGTCTAACTCTCATCAAAAAAGCATTTATTTAAATTTTAGAGGAGCAACAAAATTTTAAGACGTTTCAAGTGAGGCGCAAAACGTGAAACCAAACGGCGCACTGCTTCAAAATCGCTGTGTTGTTGAAAACAAGGCTTAGCTTACGAGGTTATCATGTTTTAGCTGATAATAGTAGTGAAAGTCTCAATGTTAATAACTAACTAGTTGACAAATCTGCAAATTGCAATTTTTTACACACACACACACACACACACACACAAAAAAAAAAAAAAAAAAAAAAAAAAAAAGAAAAAAGAAAGAAAAAACAAAGAAACAGAGACCAAGATGCGTTTTTCTTTCAGTTATACATACGATCGAACTTTAAAAAAATTCTTTATGCAAGTGTGGAAACGGAAATCTAAAATGCTTTAATGAAACAAATTCTGATACAAATGTGTTAAAATCAGAAGAGTTAATAACTAGATAACATTTCACAATATTTCTGTGAAATTGTTCCTCGAGAACATAAACTGAGCCCAAATACATTACCTGTTTGATAACTGGAAGTTTTATTCCAGTAAATTAATTTTTATCCAAATCACTTACAAATATTCTGAAATGTCATAAATATTGGCCCATAGAAAATCCAGAGTAGATTAAGAAATTACAAGCTTAATATTTGAATAGTCATTTCAACTGCATGAAGTTACGCGGTCATTTCTAGAGTATAATATTGAACAATTAGTCTTGTGAGAATACCTCTTAATGGAGGCATTCGTCTAGAAAGCAAATGCTAATTATCCTATTGCATGACGTAAACTCAGTCGAAATCTCGTTTCAAGCTTGTAGTAATAAGGTTCTTCTCATTATTTCTTTCAGTAAATGCCACAAACTCTGAAATTAAAGTACTCTACTACACCCGCCAAATTCGCTATAATTATAGGTATCATTACCAAGTTACGTGAAATTGCTCGAAAAGAAACAGTGTGAGGTAATTAGAACGACAGCAAATGCAGATTTCAAAGCTATGGAAATTGAGTGTAAAATCTCGCAAGTGCGTATGACAGGAAATATGCTGTTCTTTGAAAATGAATTAGCACTACACTTTTACCAGAAGTACAGAGTTTTATACCATGATTCTTTAAATAATCATGCAGTGGTCTTTCGTTTTGCCTTCATGAAATCAAAACATGAGGTATTCAAAACATTCAAAACATTCAAAACATGAGGTAAAATACCTGCTCTTAAAACATTACAAAAGGCACATGTGTCTATTACGGAATAGTAACAAGCTATGAATATGGCCATATACTTCGAAATATGACTTTCGACTTTTCCGTGGAATCAGGTTTTTTTATTCTTCTTCTAAAATTTCATCCACCAACGGCCGAGCGGTGAAGTCGTTGAATATTGTACAAATGGTTTCGATTACAGGCGAACGCGCTGGATGTATGGACTCTTTTGTGGTTTTCCCAAAGTATAACAAGGATACATGCCAGTTTCTCTTAGAAAGTCCTCCGCGAAGGCATAACTCTCCTTAGGCAGATATCCCTTGTGTGCTCTTGCTTTCCGAGAAATGTTCAGAGTTTTTCTTTAAAGCATATGTTTGCTCCTTTAACAAGAGGATCCCCATCCGTTTTCTCTAAATACATAGAATTTTCCTTTAAAGCCAACGCCAATTTAAGAGTGTGCTTTGCTTTAATATAAAATTTAATTTGGAATGTTAGTTTTTCACCCTGTTGTTAAAAAATGGTTTCATAGTTAGTCAATTATTTCTAAAATTTTCGAACAGATTTTAACAAAAGTCTGGTATAGATATTGATTAAAATAACACAAGAAATAGGATATTGATGATACCATACGCTAGTTACGGGGAATACTCATGTGCGTGTAAGTCTTCAGCGCAGAAAGATCTAAAACAGAGGTTGTAAAATAGAACAGAAATTAAGGTTACTAGAGGTCTGATCCTCTCTAACTGTCATGCAGTTATCACAAATATGACTTCATACTGGAAATGAGGCAGTTTATGGGTCCCTGGTGCAATTACTTCCACCCCTAAAGAAACACAGCTTTCGGGCTGTGGTGGGTTCTGAGATGAAAAAGGCGAGTTGCTATTACTCTCCCAAGAGCATCTAAGACATGCTCTGTACGATTTAGGCCTGGAAATCTGGCTGACCAATCCATTCGGTTGAGGACAAATCAGCATTGCTGCAGGCCCAGGACACATTGCAACAGGTTCCCCTAATCTGCTCCATTTTTAATTAAGAGTCACGTTGTGGGAGCTGTATGATTGTTACAGAGGACAATTTTTGTTCAATCTTACCAACTATATTTTAGACCTTTCTTGCGGCGTTGATCCTTACGCAGGATCATGCGTATGTGTGTACCATGACTGTTGTACAGTGTTTCTTTTTTATGATATGTGCACAGCAAATTCCAGTAAAATTTCCCCATAAGTTCCGAAGATTACGGACCAAATGTAAAAAGTCTTTCAATGCTGAACTCAGTGTATATAATTACCATTAGTTCATTTTTTCAACAAGTGGCAAGACAGTAACTTAAATTCTTTATAGATGATCACGCTTACTTAAGTATTATAAGTGATTTTTTTTATTTACTTCAGTAAAATTATTTAATTAATTTTTATTGTCACTTTAAAAAATAGTAATAATATTTTAGTACTTACTTTTCTTTATTTGAATAGTATTTTTTCATCTGCTAAAGATGAAATTATTTTGAAATATATTTTGCTAATGGAGAATATTCCTCCTATAGAGGATTGTTTAGACTATACGAAAGCATACTGTGGCTATCTGCCTGGAGGAGAGATGCTCCTCATGTAAAGAGAAGTTCGCATAAATACGTCAGTGATTTTCTTTAAATTTCAGTTTTGAATTATACAAGACTAGTATAAATTTTCGCTGAGTCACCGAATCAGGACTCTAATGACAATTAAATGTGACGTTATTCAATGCATGACAACATGTATCAGTTTCGTTTGCTTTTAAATGAAAACTGCATCTATACATTAAAAGAGAAAGCCAAGTATGTTTTTTTTTTCTGTATGTACCTTCGTACATACTAATAATAGAGCATAACACTAAAACTAATAACAAAGCATAACACTAATACTTAACAACACGAACATAATACTATTATTTACACAAATTTGATCGTACAACCACTTACCAATTACTTTTACAACGAAACTTGTGCTGACGGAACCTAAACCATTTTGTGCAACGCATGTATAATTTCCAGTATCAGAAGCTTGCAGATTCTGCAAGTTGAGAATCCAGTGGCCTCCTCTACTGTTTGACGGCAGGTTTGAATCTGGTAAAGGTTTCCCGTTTTTCAACCATGATATTTGTGGGCGAGGATCTCCTTTGGCAATGCATTTGAGATGAACAGATGATCCAACTAACCTTTGCACTACAGAGTTTGTGAACTTGGAAACTTGAGTAAACCGTGGTTTGCCTAAAAGAAAACAGATATGAATAAACTTTTAAGGTTTACATTAATTAACATAATATTTCTTATGTTGAAATATGTCCTTCACTTCTACTGTTTCTTCTTCTCTACTATGTAAATGAGACGAGTTTTAACTCACATGCTTAAATTTCACGAAGTAAATATTCGAGAAATTTTTATGCTATGAATTGTTCTTGCAAATAAAAATGAATGAATTTCTCGGAAATCAGCTTCTTTATATGATAAACAAAAAGCATGAAAATTAAAAATATTGCTGAAATTAGTAGCTTTTACGGTTAATATACCCTTTATGTAGAATACATTTTCATATTTGTGCATATCATGCTCGTTTATAAATTCTTAAAAATTTCATGCAAATATTCACATTAAAAATGGTTTAAAATGAATATTGTAACCACTCTTATGAACTCTAGCAACTAGAGTAGGGTGCCCTCGGGTGAGCAGCCAGAGAAAGACTTCAGGAATGAACCTATTAGGTTGGACCAGACTCCTGCTCTTCAAAATCTTAAAATTTCATGTTATGTTCCTGTGTAACTTAAACCTTCGAATAAATTATTGTTACACGATAAAGGACTCATTTATGATACGATCCAACACAACACCCCTTATAAGTGACGCCCAATGTTAATGTTTAAGAATTTTCGCTTGACCTTCGCTCGTAATTTTCTCTTTCAGAACCAAAAGTGGAATCCGCACCCGCTGGATACTCGCAATACCTCCCCGAATTCCTTTAGATAATTTTTTTTTTGTAATGTCTGTACTCATGGACAGAATAAAGAACTGTTTTTTCCCAAAAAGGATTGTAAAATGGATTCAATAGGGATTTTTTTTTCGTAACGTCTGTACGTGCGTATGTATATATCTCGAAATAGCTTAAAAGGAAGAGTCGTAGAACAATGAAATTTTGCATATGGGACTGCTATAATATCGACATATGCCCCTCATTGTTTATTGTGGTCGACAATACCAAACGAAATTTTAAAAGTCCTTACCCGGCTTCTATTTTCGCAATTATTGGTCGCAGTTATATACTTTCAGTTACAGAAGTGTTTCCGATGACGAAAATATTTATACTTTGGTATTGTCTTCCAGATTCTATACTTCTATTTGGGAAAGTTTTATATTCGTTGTGAAAAATTAAAATTAGAAAAAGTTTCACTCTTATATGACAAAAGTTGAGCAGGATATTCAATTTCAAAGTTTGCAGTTTTGATGTCATTTTCAACTTGCCTTGAGAGCCTTAATGCTAGAATAATTGGGGAAATAAATTTAAATTAAAGGCAATAAAAATGTGTATAATAGGCTGTACAAGTCTACATCAGATTTTTTTCTGATGTAGATTTACAAGCATGTCTACATCAGATTTTTTTCTTAATAAGATACACGCATACAACAATGAATGAACTTAAAGGGGGATGAAAAGCTCAAAAATTAATGAGCGAATAATTTTCTTATTGAGTGAATTTTCAGAATTTTAATTTTATACTTTTCATGTTTGTATTTTATAGAATTTGAAAAGCAACATTTAATGAATCTAAAGTTAATCAATAATTAAGAATTTTAACTCAAGTTCACTCTTTCAGCTTAGTGTTCGAAAGAGCACTTTTCCTCCAAATGCCTGAAAAATTGGACGAAGGTGCGTAAACTGGAAAGGAATTGTCGCATTCTTCCGTACCTGCTTCTCGTGTTGTAAAGGCTAGTAAACAGAGATATCCTTAATTTGAATCCCAGTGAGTCCACAATTGATATTTCATGTCTCAAGTTTAATTAAAATTTTAAGAATTAAAGTAAATGATTTAAATTAAAGTAAATTAATATAATTAAATTAAATTAAAGTAATTAAAGTTTTAATTAAAGAGTTAAAGTAATTAAAGCTCGTAAATTAAAGCACAATTGAGTCTTGTGTCTCTTCCAAAGCGCCATTTAAGGGGGGAAATGTAAAGGAATTATGACATTCCCTGGCCTGCTTTCTTGATGTAAGATCCAGGTTCTCAGCTGCACGTGGAAGATCCAGGGTTTGAATCTCAGAGAAAACATACTTGATTTTAGTTTTTTACTGTTTAAAAAACCATAATAATCTTGCGCAATTTGTTTCAATAATTTTATTTTGAAGCTTCTAATGTTTTTTTTTTTTTTTTTTTTTTTTTTTTTTTTTTTTGCTGACTGAGAATTTTGGAATTTTTCCGAAATATTCCTTTGGAGATTGGGAAAATTTTAGAGAAACGGTTATAGACTACAAAATAAAATAATAATAATACGTAATTGCTTTTTTACAAGCTCTTTAACAACTACATTGATAGTGAAAAGTAGTGATCATTAGGTTTCTCCATGAAAGGGAAAATCAAGGAATGTAAGAACTGCGGCCTTCCGACAGAAAGTATTATATTTGAGCAGTTTTTTCCAAATAACCTTATTTATTTGTGCAGTCTGGTAAGTACTGAATCACAAATACTTACTGATGAACATATTGGGCCAAGGTAATTGGTTAATAATTCGCAGCTGCGAATATTTTAAATTTCAAAGCGGAATTATTGAACTTCAAATAGTAAATACATTGTTAACTGCAAATTTGGCGTTTGTTCCCATCCAGATTTAGAATGCCGTTCATTAGTCATCCTTCCTTTTAGACAGACAAGTTTTTTTATGTTTAATTAATCGATCCAAGAGCAATTTGAATTAAAAATTAAATGATTTCAGCTTAAATCTAAATTAATGAAATAAGTTTTTAAAATAAATTAAATTATTCGAAACAACTGTAGATGGTAATCTAATTGGAAAAGAAACACGTCACTATAGAATTTAAGATAAGGTAAAACCAACTGATACTAAGAAAGCTATCTATAAAGCTGCTTTAATCGGTGAACTGGATTTCCTTGAAGTTTTTTATAGTTACGAAAATTTATCGTTTTTAGATTTTCACAGCGCTTTCAAAATTGTAATATCTTAGCTTTTCCGGTTTTTTTTAAAATTATTTTCGTCGAAAGGTGGAGCTTTGTTAGTTGATTTTCATATAAAATGGTTGTCGTTTCTCTCACCTTAATGAAAATATTTTGCTCATGAAGAAGAAGGAACTGTGTCTGATGATTCTTGAAATCGGTGGAGTTTAATTCAAAATATACCCAACAAAGGGTGCTTTTTTACTTAATTGTAAATAGATGGAAGTTATTGTGATTGATAAGTTTTAAGCAATGGTACTTGAAAATGAATATCTTACTGAACAGTATTGATAGAAAAATTTAATGTCAAATAAATAAATATTTTCTGTTAAAGCGGCATTGCCCTTTTAGCTTTCTGTTTAAACATTTGGAAAGTAAAAGAAAGAGTATAACAGAATAAATTCAATATTTTAAATATTTTTTTATCAAAAAAAAAAAAAAAAAAAAAACCGCGTTGTCGATTAACTGTAAATTTGCTTGCTGTTTCATTCGTTGTTGAATAGAAATCTTTTACTCCGCCATTAAAATCGTAAAGTTCAACTCGACTTGATTAAAACTCACGAAAACCCTTAAAGGATCATTATCCTGATGTTTATAAATGTCCAGCTGTTACAAGCGAAAGGGTGGAAAATGACATCAAAGCCATTAATGGCTTTGATTCTGCCTAAGCCATTAAAAGGCTATTACCCAGCAATTCAAAGCTATTTTATTGCGAATTTTGTTTGACCTTGTCTATGATGCTTTGCCTCTCTCGTCTCTTCTTCTATGCACACAGGTATGACGACAATAGTATTTTAGCATAAAATGAGTTCTCTACTGATGCGTAAGAATAAATTTTGGCTACTAAATTACATTCTTCATGCAACTAAAAGCGCGTTATTTTAGCCTTTATTTTTAAAATGTGGTATGGTGTTTAAAATGAAAACCAGGAAATCAATCTGTGTTAGTTTAGAGCTGCGTAGTTACGCGAAATGACAATAAAACTAGTCATTTGAACATCGGTTATATTCCAGTCGTATGTTTTAATAGTTATATTCAATTACGAACTGAATTAAATAGATCCTGGTAATTGAATAGTGAAAGAAGAAGTTATAATATTTTTAGTTGTTTCCTTCATTTTGTTTTAATAAATTTATTATTTAAAAGACAATTTATTAATTTAAAACGCATTGTTGCGAATAGTGTATATATGCAAATAATTTCAGTGAAATTATATGTAAAATAATAGTATCTCACGTATAATGTAACAAAAAAATGCCTCACAAAAGTGAAGCTCTACCAGAAAATAAGGTTACAGGTGAAGCCAATTTAACAGTGAGGTAAAATTTTATTTCATGAAATCTGCGAGATAGCGTCAAGCCAGCGATAGATTTGGCCAGTAATTATTGTCGCTAAATTTGGCGAGACATCGCCAAACTTATAAAACCATTTCGCGACATTTTGTTCGGTCCCCTGTAAAACTGCAACTGGTCTAATTCCTGTGTAACTCGAATTGTATCCGACCTTAAATGTAACTGTAATCCTATGCGTCTTCCAGTACTCTCAAGAAATGGAGATACTGAAGCTATGTCATATTAAGAAGAGCTGTACGAATACTTTTGTGGTTGTGGAAAGTTCTAGAACTATAGTGTTTCTTTTGTGAAAATTAATTTTGTCAATCTATCATAGGTTCTGTGTGCATTCAATCCAGAACAAACTAGTACGCACGCAGCAATTACCGGTGTGAGAAGTGAGACTGAATGCCAGTGACAAGAGCAATTTATGAGCAATTAAGATGGTTGGTGAGAGCCTTTCCTACATTCCAAGATAAGATGGAAGGGGCCGTCAAGTCCGTTAAAGAGGAGATGAAAGCCGACCAATAAAAGGTGGAAGACGCCGCCAAATTAGTTAAAGAAGACTGAAGCAGGTCAAGAGGAAAGGAAAAGGGAAATTACCTCCGTAATAGAAAACAAATTAAAGGATACAGAAGGCAGCATAGACAGGATTGAAAATTGTTGGAGGAATCGAAGAAAGAGTTTCTGCTGTCGAACAACAAATAAAAAAAAAGAG